CTGAAGTTCAGCCTCGATTTTGCAACAGCCAGGACCCACTGATCAGCTGACCTTAGAGACTGTAAAGGATTAAATGATTGAAGCATTTAAACTGCTTAAGCATTTAAAAGCAAATCTAAGAAATTCAAAACTGATTCTGGAACTCACATGAAGTTCACAGAAAGCCAGTGAAGAGCAGCCCAAACAGGAGGGATGTGCTCATGCCTATGAGATTATTGTCACAGTCTTGGTTTTCCATTTGTTGTCCTCTGCTGCCCTCTTGTGTCCTCTTTCCCTAGCTCTGTTTTCTGCTCTGCCCTCACCTGTTTTCAATCCCCTCGTTAGCCCTCTCTTTGTCTCTGTCCCCTTTAAAAGCCTCCCTCTTCAGTTCCTGTTTGCTGGATCCGCGTCAAACGTCTGTCAGCTTACCTCGTCTCTCACTGGCTCCTAGAGTTTGGTTTTCCCCTGATGTCTCCTTGGTTCTGGTTCATTTGTTATTTCTGTTGGATTTTTTGATTCCTGCCTCAGTTCCTGTGAACCTCATTAAACCCACCTAAATTCATTTGCATTTGGGTCCTCAAACCAACTCCAAAATCCTGACAATTATGTTAAAAACTTGCCTCTGCATTTTGGACAAGCTTAAGGCTCTCTACAATTAGCTTGGAGAAATAATAGGGAAAATAAAAAGAAATTTGTATCGCTCTGCTGCAGTTGGCCTAATTAATGTTTCTTTAAAGTCCAGTGGCCATTTTACAAATGATTACTGAAGTATACAGCTAAAAACTGTGCTAAATCTCAAAGATAAAGGTTAAACATCAAAAAGTTAACCCTGCACTGGCTAAGCTTAAGGAGCAAGGGATGAAAAATAACCAAAAGATCAAGACCAACCTGAATATTGCTGTGTTATTTCCACCATCTTCAAGCAGACGGTCCAGTGCGTAATTCGTATAGAAGGACTCTAAAGATGCAATTCAATTCAATTTATTTCTATAGCACCAATTCACAACACATGTCATCTCAAGGCACTTTACAGGGATAATTCAACCACATCATACAGTCAAACTGATTCATAGATTTATATCTAAGGAAAACCAGTTGATTGAATTGACTCATTGACTTGAATACAATCCCTCACACTAATCATGCTTGTAGCAACAGTGGAGAGGAAAAACTCCCTTTTAACAGGAAGAAACCTCCAGCAGGACCAGGCTCAGTGTGAGCGGCCATCTGCTGAGGCCGACTGGGGTTCAAGGAGACAAAGCAGAGACAGAAAAAGCAGCTGTAAAAGGCGGCCCCGTCCAGGAAACAGACAGCCAGGCAGACGAGCTCTGAGCCAGCTCCCATGTCAAAGAATGAAGAGAGCACATCCAGCCAGTCGCAGTCAGAGAAACAGGACTACACTGAAAAACAGGCCGATCTCCAACGTCTATAAAAAAAGGTGTTGATGGCCGCAGCACAGCACAGATGCACACATAGAAAGAGACCACTTCTTCTAAAAAGAGACACTGAAGCCAACCAGGCTTTTTGCGCTCTGGTCTTATGATTAGTTGCAACAAGGATATAATTTTGGCAAAAAGCATCTGGTTTCAAAAATACTCCCGAATGTAAATCATGATGGGAGAAAATATAAAATTTTATTAGATATTTTCTAAATGTATACATCAGTATATCACACTAGGGGCATACAGTGTTTTAGTAAATAAAAAAGTTTGTAAATATAGCCTTTCTGTGTATATTTACCATAACAACATAATGGTGAATAATGACTAGGAACGGGGCTGCATCACTGTGCATGCCTATAATTGGTTGTTGGAAAGGACCCAAAATTAGACGTTTGGAATATATAGCCATACTTATCATTATCACCTGGATCTTTGTTTTTTTGGTATAAGCATATAATGTAGCTTTAACCCAGCTGAAAATTAAAGATATTACATAACAATGCTATCATATCATGTGAGCATTAGGGACTTTGTTTTTACTAACCCAATTTACAGGAAAGGTTTTATTGCTACTTTTTATCTTTTGTTTATTGGTTGTATTCTGAATTTACATGCTAAGCTGCAGTAAAAAGTTTTCAATCTTTTGATCTTCCTTCTGAGAATTTAAAAAATAATCAACTTGTCAAAGGTTGAAGAGGTGCAACCTGATTAAGAATTTTATGTGTATTTTGTTGTGCTTTGGAAGTAAAGTTAAAAAGCAGAGAATGCCTCATCTATGACCCTATAAGTAGCACAACTATAAGGGACTCATAATGAAAGGCTTACACAGGATTTTGATTAAGTCATACATGTGGAGTTAATGTGGGTTTTTTAAACTTTTAAAAATCAGTATCCTCGCATTAAGCAGTTCTTGAGGAAACCTTAATGAATAGATAGTCCTGTAACAAATATTTATCGACGTAATGGAGAAGACAGGAACCGGACATGATCAAAGGCTCTCTCTCTCTCATCAGGGAAAGATGGAGGAAGCACAGTCATGGCCAAGGCATGCATGCCTCTGGTGCATTAAGGATAGTTTCAGAAATCTACACACAAGCTTTCTCTGTCTGTTAGAGCAAAACCTTTACTCTACTGGAGCTTTGTCCTGCAGTAAGACTATTAAATTTCTACCTGGATAATCCAAGCTTTTCTCAGTGACAAAACCCACATTTAAGCCTAATCAATATGTTTTTTTTTCTAAAATAAAATAGAAAATAGATCACAATTCTGAAAGTCTAAGCAACCATGTGGCTGATGAATAGTTGAACTGAATAATTTGGATCGTAGCATGTTCATGTATTAAAATGGTTTAGTCAAAGTCCAGAACCTAAATGAAACTGTAAATCTTTAGAAAAGCTGAAACTTAATCACAGATAGTCTCCATCCAATCAGTATGTACTTAAAGGTATACTGTAGAGGACAATCTTTTATTTCTGGGCTGATCATTTAAATAAGTTTCGCCTCCTAATTTTCAATCATTCTGGTGATATATTTACCTCAGGCTGTCCTACGTGCTTGTTCAGCTTGCTATCTTTTTCTGCACATGCCCACTTTATGTCTGCGGTCAGCTACGGTTTCAGACACTCATTGAGGCTCACCTTTTTCACCGCTGTTATTTGAACATGTCAGGATTTGGTTGAGGTTTGAGAACCCAAATCCAGAGGCAGGGAGGCAGAGGTGAGTTTTAGTAGATTTAATGCGAGGTAAACAAACGACTGAGAAAGGAATCCAAAAGTCCCAAAAAAATCCAACAAGAAAAAAGTTAAACAAACCAGAAACCATGGGGACATCAGGGGAAAACCATCTTGACGAGGTTAGACGCTGTAAGATGGCGTAAGTCAAAGTTTGACGAGGAAACAGCGCTGAGGAACTGCATAATGAGTGTATTTATGGCAGACTGAACCAAGAGAGGACTAACGAGCAGATTGGGAGCAGGTATGAACATAGCAGACTGGAAAGGAGCTAGGGAAAAAGGAGAACACTAGAGGGCAACAGAGGGCAACAAATAAAAATCTGAAAACCTAACCAACCAAAAAAAAAAAACACAACAAAATAAGAATTAAACCAATAAATTGTGACAGAACATGGCTGAGGGTCGTATCGGAAAAGGTCTACAAAGTGTATGACAAGAAAAGAAAGGCCTCAAAAGAGGCAGATATATCCTAACATGCTTTCCGCTGAGAGCTCTCCTCGAAAATAATTATAGGATTTGCTGTCACAGCGGCCCACTGTCACCATAGGTTTTCGCTACCCAACAGCGGCTACTAATAATAAAGATGCCACAGGCACCGCGCGGTGGAGGAGGAGTTACATGACAAGTAGTGATCATCTTTCCAAACGCTAAGTTAACTGAGTTCGCTATAAAGTCCACTACATAGTCCCCACTGTATATAGTGATGAAGGGATTTAGGGGTTAGGGAGGATGTTCGGACACAGTATGCTCGCATGAGCTATGAGAACAGCAACTTTTAAACAGAGTGTGCACAAGAAGAAATGGGCTCATGCACACTCTGGCGTGTGTTTAATGGGCGTTCCCTCTCAGGAGAAGGTACGGAGTTGTGCATGTGCATTTTTTTTATGGAGAGGGTGGGTCTTTTGAAAGATTTGCGTAAATCCTCCACTATACCTTTAAATGCTATTAAACAAAGAAGAATGTGCAAACCTACAGTTTCTAGATGTGCAAAACTTGTGTTATTGATTTTTTTATTTATGTGTATTTTCCCTTCCTTCCTAGGTATTACTTTGTGAGGTGTCTCAGATTGAATCCATACAAAATGCTTTGGTGTAATGATACAAAGTGTGAAAAAGTCGATGTTAGGCTCTAAGAGTAATTCTTCGCTCATGTCAGATTGTTATCTGATCTTTTTTGCTTTACAAGATAACTTAAAAATGTCTTAGATCAGGGGTAACCAATTAAAAATCAGCGGGGTCCTAATAAAGAAAATCATCAACCTGTAAAGGTCCGGAGACATTTTTAATTATAACCTGTTACTTTAAACAGAATTTAACACTGAAATAAAATTAGTTTTTTTATGCATCCACAAAAAATGGATGCATTTAAAAAAAAGTAAAAAAAAAAAAAATGTTTTCCATTTTAAAATCTTGTTCGTGTTAAAATCGTGTTACTAAACCTGTGAGCTCAGCAGGCAGAATATCTTAAAATAATATCTTGTGGTAAAAAAAAAACAAAAAAAAAAAACAAAATAAAACACAATGCCTTTTGGATCTAGATGCACCTTTGGTCAAACTGGTTTGAACCTTCAAAGGATTGCTGAGGCACTGGGCAGCTTTTCTTAACTGCATGCATCCAAAAGTGTATTTATCTGCAAAGACACTTTGTCGACCTTGGGGGTGATTGATTGGGGCTCCTGACTCATGGATCCTCCACCCATGTCAGTGGGCGATCAATCGTCTTGTGTTTCTATCATAGAGACGGTGATGAACTGTGAGGTGGTAAAATATACTGGAAAATGTTCTAACTTTACCATCTGGGTGACCCCAAAAAAAGGCTGTTGTGAAAATAATATCAATAGGATTTCAGCCCATTAGGTCAACTTTTATTAACAATTTTCCAACTCTAACATTTTGCACCGATTATTTGTGGGTGCTGGCATCCAGAAGGGCCTCAGTAATTCTGGATCACCTGCAGAAACAATGGGTAGAATTCACGTACAACTAGCTGCTATTTGTCCCTGCAGATACGCAGCTGAACACGTTAGCTAATTTACCTCATTAATCCAGTCTGTAAAGGCAGAGGTGCGGGTGAAGACAGTGGGTTTCTTGACTTCGTTGCACAACGACGAGGACACAAAGCTGGTTACGCCCTGAATGTACCACCTACCATCCTGACCCAGACAGTTCAAAGGGCCTCCAGAGTCCCCCTGTGAATAAAGCAAAGACACAAACGCAGCACGAGGCCCCAATTATAATTCAAATGTAGCTCTTAAATTCGCACAAGTACAAAGCTGCACTCTGTTGATGCAGTTGCGTACATTGCATGCAGAAATGACGTCGCCTCCTGCACAGACCATGGTGCTCTTCACAGTGTTGCCCCACCAGTCGCTGCGACTGCAAACACTGTGCTCCACCACAGGAAGCAAGGCCTGCTGCATTCTATCAGGCATGGGGCCATGGGCTGATGATTGAGAGAGAAGAAAAAGCTGCTTGACTATGTGAACCATAGAATAAATTTACAGTCAGCTGACAGACATGGAGGGATTAAATAGATGATAAATGAACTTGTTAGGGCCAAGTGTTTAGATGTGAAAAAAGCCTTTATTGTGAATGCATTGTATTATCATGGAAGCAAATTTCACACTAAAAATGTTGGAAAAGTTCAGTGGATCAAATGTCGAGAGAGAAATATTTACATAAAAGTCAGTGATATAATATTCATTCGTAAGCTATCTTTTTAAAATACATGGAATTGCTGCGTTTTGTCAATTGTATGATACATTTTAGCAGCAGCTGGGAGATTTCATAAATGTATTAGTTATCGATCACCCTCCCACTACAAAGAGTTTGGAGGAACGTAAAGAAAATAACTGCATGCCAACTAGCTGTTCAGTTATTAACATGACAGACATAAATAGGCTGAAGATAGAGGAAGTTTTTTTTTCTTCCTTTAATGTGTAACAGAGGATGGATAAGTAAAAACCCCTCAAATCAGGTAAAGCAGAGGGGCATTAACAGATCCATGTTGGTGGATTTATTCTTTGTTTGCATAGACGCCTTTTAAGTATTTCTCTGTCTGTCTTGCTTGAATTCTGGGTCCTACGTTATGAGTTTATGACTGAAATTTGGAATAAAATACACTTTTTCTGTTTAATGTATGTATGTTTTAGTCTATGTGTACGTTTTGACTCGAATGAGGAGTAATGAACAGAAATTATTTTTGCAATTCAAATGGTCCCACAGTTGTGATTCAGAATAGATTAATTATAGAATAATTAGGAGAATAGAACCATTTAATAATTTAATTAAATACTTTTTTAAATGTAATATATAAGAAAGGTTTAAATGCTTTATAATAACAATCACCTTAAAGCTGGGACTCTGAACTGCATCTCTAAAACACGACTAATGAATAAATCTGGTATGAATAAACTTGATTTGAACCATATCAAGTTCCATGAGCGGAGTTAAAACGACAAATTATAGATCTAGTATTAAAGGAGTCTGAGACCTGTTGGGATCCAAGGTTTGCCCTCCAGAGGGCGGTGTGGATCCCATTCTGTAGCTTCTGTTTCTGTTTTGGATCCCTTCCTGTGGGCTTCTTTTCCTGTTGGGATCCAGAGGTTGCCCACCAGAGGGCGCTGTGGATCCTCCTGGGAGCTGGTTCTCAGCACTCAGCTGATTCCAATCAGCTCTGCTGATTAACCTCTCACTATATAAACTGTTTGAAAGCTTCACTCTGAGCCGGATCGTGGTCATTGTCCTTGTCCTTGCCATGGAAGCAAACCAGAGTCTCTTGCCTGTTTAAACCTGCCTATCTGAGTCTGCAAACCTGTGAGTTTCAGTTTGTTTATTTTTCCCTGAGTTTAACCTGTGCTCTGTCTCCTCTGCCTTCCAGGGCAGAACCCTGTGCTGATCCAAATAAACATTGGACTTTAATCCTGCCTCCGAGTCTGTGAGTTCTGCATCTTGGGCTAGCAAACCAACCACGCATCATGACAAGACCAAATTCTGCTTCATCCAGTCTATGGCAGGACAGAAAAAGGGATAAAGAGGAAAAAGCAGTAACATTACTGTAGAGGTTGCCCCAGCCAGAGATGTAACACTGGGTCCCGTGGACGAGGATTTCTTCTGCCTGAGGAAGACAAGCCATGCCGATATTGTTGTTCATAAGGGGGCTCCTATCCAGTTTCAGCAGGGCAATATCATTACTGAAGGGACAAACATGAAGAGTTTATCTAATCAAGAAGGTACAAATATTTTTAAACCATTCAAGATATATTAGCTTAATTTTACTTTTATCAATGTCTTATGTCAGAAAATGGAGGTGGGTTAATTTGCTGATACAATTTACTGATGAATATCCCCATTTTTGTTAACTTTAACAGGAGGATAATCCGAACAAGCAGCTTAAACTCACCCATCAGCTACACGGTCGATGTCCCAATCAGGGTGGACAACAATGCGGAGGATGTCTCTGATCTGCTCTGTCCCCTCCTGCAGGCTCATGTCATGCTCTCCTAAAACCGCACGGTACACATCTCCTGGCCTGCATGAAATAAAAGGCATTTATCCTTTTAAATCTTTATTTTGCAGCATGATTTCACTGTAAATACCTGGAATTATTAAACAATACTATGTGTTCTATAGTTAGTCACCAGATACAGTGTCCAGCAGTCAGCACCCAGCGAGGTGCAACTAGGGTTCCTCCACATGTATGATGGAAGCGGCTGCCATGTTTTACTTGCAGTGAGATCTTTGAAGAAAAAAAAGGAAATTAAGGGAAAAAAGACCAACAGAGTGCAAAGCTTGTGGACAGACAAAAAAAATAAAAAACACTAGTTTCAATGCATTTCAGCATAACGTGCTCCAGGGTTTTCAAAATGCTTTACAAATACATGTCTGAAAAGTGTGGAGTGTATTTGGAAACCACCACTCTACCCTGATACTCTTAGATTAAAATTAATGACATCAGTTGCCTCTGGAAATCAAGGCCCAATCCCAAACAAGCCCATAAACAATAACCCAATGCGTTAACACGTTTCCGGAGGGTCCACCATTTAAAGGACCGTTCAAAAGCCCGTAGTGGGTAGGGTGAGTGGAAAATTCAGCCCTTAAATAGTGACAGCAGGTGGAAAAGTGAATTAATGGAGGCCGCTACATGTGCATTCATATGTAATCTCAGCTGTTCTGCTGCATCACACTGACTGGAAAATCACAAGTCAGTCAGGAAAAAGAAAAAAACATGTCATTAATCCGGAAAGGGAAGGTCTTCTTTGAAATTGTTTTATTTGATTAATATATATATGCATATTTTTAAAGATGTGATTGCGTGTCAACTTGTGCCACAGAGCTACAGCCATGCACATGGGGCATCACTGTGTTGCCATAAGAACAGTTGTGTGGGGTGGGTATAAATGTCAGGGTTTGGTTGTGGTTTGGAGGACCCAAATGCAGAGGCAGAGGCTCAGGAGATTTCATGCAGCTTTAATGAAAATAAACAGAGGTAACAGAGGCGGGAATCCAAAAATCCAAAATCAAACATGAAAAATATAAAGCAAACCAGAACTATGGAGACATCTGGGGAAACCAAACACGAGGAGACAGGGAGAGACGAGGAACGTAGACAACAGCATGGGAGGACAGCTAAGACAGCCTTAGCTCCCCTCATAACCAGGTCAGTTTCTCCCTAAATCTCAGTCGTCACCTCCATGACCAACAGCTAGCCCCATCCTCAAAAAAACTCATTATTACAACCCCTACAGTCAGAACTCCCCATATTGAGGAGTCTCAATTATGGACCTTCTTTTATGGGGAGAGGGAAGATCTTTTCCTGCCACCTCCATCAGCTTCAGAACCCATTAGCGTTCCAATTTCCCTAGCTCCAGTGCCCATTAGAGGGCCAGATTCCCTAGCTCCAGTGCCCATTAGAGGGCCAGATTCCCTAGCTCCAGTGCCCATTAGAGGGCCAGATTCCCTAGCTCCAGAGCCCATT